CCACATGAGGGGACCAGGGTGTTCTCTCAAAGGATTACAAAATATACAGGTAACATTGATCGCTAAAGGTGAGCAAGGGAAAAGATAATCCAAAATATGAGTAATCCAGGGGTTTCTGAGTGGTTTTCACTTCCACTGGAGTCAGATTCTTGTGCCTCAGAACATTTGCATGTGTTGTTACTTCTGCTCAGAATCATCTCCATGCTGCAGAGCTCTGCTGGTTAATTTAAACTAATCCTTCAATTCTCAGGTGTCACATCTTTGAAGACTCCCTTACCCTTGAGCCTGAGTTGGATGCCCCCTCCCATGATTTCCTATCTCATAGTCCCCAACAGGCTCTAGTCCCCTGAGTCTCCAGCCCTTTCTGTAGCTATTGTTCTACTGTGACACCTCAGCTCCCGGAACAGTGCCTAGCAATTGTTACAGGAATGACTGAGTTTTTTCTAATTGTTTTGAGCCTAGAAATGATTAGTGATTAGAGTAGCAGAGAGTGATTTTTACTTTGGAGTTTATTTTGTTTAGTTCAAGATTTCACCATAAAGCACTTCTTTAAGGAGCACATAATGGGGAACAGTAAAGAGAAAAGGTCAGAAACATCACTTTTGCTTGGATCCCCCTGCCTGTCTAGCTCACCGAGTCTGTCTTTGAATAAACAGGGCCTTCTCTAGAGAGCTCCAAACTCGGATGTAAGGTTTAGCTCAGAATTTCTTCCCTGCAACTCCTGAACATGCTGGAAGGCTGTTGGATGCTTTCAGTGACCCGTTCCAGAACCTCTTAAATGTGCCCTGGAAACACCCTCCAAACCCACGCCCACCTGCCTCTTTGCCTTCTCCAAACCAAATTGCCAGTCTGGGTTTGCTGGTCTCCTGCACTGTGCCCCTGCAGAGATCACCCCTGCCTGTCCTGTGCACCTCTGCTCTTGTCCTGCCTCCCACCTGTGCTTTGTGAATGTTCTTCATTCCCCGTTGGTGCTCCACAGGGCTGCTTGGGTCCGCTGCAGGAGTCAAGGTTGAGCAGAGGCAGCTGTGTCTAACTGGGGGCAGGGGAGGAAGAATGATTGATTATTATAGGGATGTTTGCCTGGAGTTTTAATTAGACTGCCTTTCCTTGCTCCCCACCCCACCCTCCTTTCATCCCCAGCTCAGAACATCCACTTAGAACATTAGTGTTTTAGAGACTTGGAACATTAGGTTTTACATTCTGCACCCACCGTCTCCATGCAATAAATAAATCAATAAGCTCATTGGTCTGAGTCATTTGATTGCCCGGTGCATTGGGGTACTTTTTTTGTTCTTGAGTGAGGGATCATTTCTCACTAGCAAATGAGAGGGAAATGTGGGTGTAGGGTTTGTCTTGGCTTCTGATTTGCAATTCTGACCTGGGGGGAGGGGTCATTCTTCCCAGCAATGTGTATAACTTGTGAGAGGCCTGCCAAATGCCTTGCAAGCCTGCCTTTTGACAATTTTCCTAACTCGTGCATGTCATAAAAACATTTCTCATTTGCCAGAATAGTCCTGGGTTTGTTTTTGAATCTGACAGGTCCTCTGATACCATATTCTTAAGTCTCACTAACAGACAATTTAAACCCCAGATGCTGCCTTGACAGGAAGGAAGATTGTATGATTTTCAATTTGGGTTGAAAATCAAATCCAACATGTGACAACACTGAGACTCCAGGACCCTACAGATTAATTGTGATTATCTTACCGTGAAATGCTTTTGTGATAGGAAATGCCCTCCATTGATTGTTTCTGTCAAAAAGCTTTGATTGGAAAACTTTTTATAATAACACTGTCATTTCTAAAACACTTATTTATGTCTTGGGTTATCCTTTGTTTTATGCAGTGGGTATGCCCCTGAAGAATTATTTATAAACTGAACTTCTACAGCAAAATTCATACATTAAATGCATTTGAGGAATTATTATTTTACTTGAAGGATGTTCCTATAATTAGAAAAGTGACTTCCAAATTCACTTAAGAAGAATAATGCTTATATATTGGGTCTTGTTTAAATGAGATAATAAGAATCAGACAGTCACCAGTAGGCTTCTACTAGATCTCAATTGTTCTGACTTAATTACACTGCATTTCAACCCAGTAGAGTGCAGGTTTTGTAAATTATATATTTCTCACTGATCTTCAAAATTGTATGCCCAGGAAAATCTTCCCCTGTCAAAGCTACTCCTTGTTTTTTTCTTGTCTCATTTCTCCAGAGAAGGATGTGGCTCAGAGCTTAGAGCTTGGAAGTTTTGGAATGTTCTGCTAAATAGTAGGGAATGTATTAGTTTCCCTGAGCTACCCTATTAGGGTCTCATAAGCTTCTCGCCCTATACTTTTACACTTCTGTATATTCTCCATTATCTGTTGCTGATTATCCATAAATGTGATGGCTTAAAAATTTTTGTCTTGCCATTCCGTGCTGGGGCTACAATCATCTGAAGGCTTGCCATTCTGTGCTGGGGCTGCAATCATCTGAAAGCAAGATGGCTGATGGACATGGTGGACGGTTAAGGCTGCCTGTCAACTGAGTGCTCAGCTGGGCTAAGGACCACTGCACTTATATGTGACCCCTTATTTAGCTTGTGTTTCCCACATCATGATTGGATTCTAAGAGAGACAGTCCCAAGAGTAAGTATTCCAAGAGACAGAAGTCACAAGGCTTCTTATGACCTTGCCTCAAAATCCCAGAATATCATTTCTGCCAGATTTTATTCATCCAGTGACTAAGGCCAACCCTGATTTAAGGGGAGGAGAATTAAGCTCCTCCTCTTGGTATGAGTTGCAGCATGTGACGACAGTGGAGAAGAGAATGGTTGGAGTCTTTTTTAAAACTATCTACCTTACTGTTTCAGAGGAAGGGCATTCTCTGGAGGAGCAGGACTGTGTGACTATACAGGGCACATAGGTTATTGTGGACAGTGTAGAAGTGTTACAGCATGTTTAATACGTACAAATGAGTTGGGCAGCACTGATGGTTAGAATTCGGTGCTGGAGAGTTCTATATGGACCCATTTCCACAACAGCCAGTAGCATACCACAGAAAAAAAATGCTCCAACCATTGATGCCAGCCATAACTTATCCCACCTATATTAAAGATATTTGAAAAAAGAACTTGCTAAGGGACTGTAAATAGCACAGTTTCAAAGATGTGTTTACCTAGAAGCTACGCCAAGCTTGTATCCAACTTACATTGAGCCAGTCAAACCATGTTCATATTAGAACCACAGACACAACAGGGAGATGACGTAACACATCTGGTCCATTTGGTTTTTGCTTGCATTTGGGAGGTACTTAGACAAGGCTGTATCCGTGGAGTATCTTATATTCTTGGAATGGACACTTTTTGGTGTTTGATTAAAAAAAAAAAAAAAAGCCAACTCTGTACATGAGCTTGAAAGTATAATTGCCTCCTAAACTTTAATTGACAGCTGTCCTGTTAATCACATGAGCCATAGGTTCCTGGATTCCAGCTCCAGAGCTTGGATAATCTGGATGTGAAGGCTGACAGCTCCCTTGAATATATTATTTTTCACTATTTGTAACATTTTTCCTATCCCTTGAATATTTCTCTCTGGGGATTTAAATTTGTGGTGTGTCTGTGCTGACCATTTAGAAACAAGGTAAACATTTTAATGTATTTATAGCCAGAGACTCTGCCCGAATTAATTAGGCTTAGCATTGGATGTACATTGAAGTATTAGTCTTTAGGAAAGGTCAGAAGAATATCCCTAGGTGGGAAAAGCAGATGTTTAGAGGAGATTGATAGCCGTATTCTGAGTCAAACTTCTACGTGGGATTAGTACTTGTCTTAGTTTGGGCTGCTATAGTGAATACCGCAGACTGGATTGGCATATAAACAACAGAAAATTCTCACAGTTCTGGAGGCTAGAAGTTCAATGTCAGGGTGCCAGTGTAGTCGGGTTCTGATGAGAGCCCTCTTCCAGCTTGCAGACTGCCTGCTTCCTAGTATAGCCTCACATGGCAGAAAGAGCGCCGGAGAATTCTTTGGGATCCCTTTTATAAAGATAGTAATCCCATTCATGCGAGAATTCATGGGATCCCTCATGACTTAACCACTTCCCAAAGGCTTCAGCTCATGATATTATTACATTAGGGGTTGGTATTTCAACATACGAATTTGGGGGGAACATTAGCATTTAGTCTGTAACATTGCTCTTGATTTATTAAATGTACTGGTGGAGCTCTAGAGGTAGTTCCTGGAGATGATAATTCTATTAGGCTTGCATTTTTATGCTACTATGAAGGCATTTGGAAAGGGTAAGGAACATTCTTTGGAAGAGGGTATGGGAGAGAGAAAGGAAGCATCACATAAATATAAACCTTAGGACAGTGGACAGTGGGGGGGGGGCCTGAAATCCACACTTGCCCGACCTTTTCTATGTAGATCATTTCACATAGAGACCTGTCCTGTTCTTTTCTCCCTGATAGAGCCCACCCCTCCCCACCAGCAGTCTAACCATTCACCTTTCAGTCACACTGATGTAGACCCACAGTCTACTTTCTTCCCTCATTTCTCTTCTGCCTACAAATATTAATTGAACTCCTACTATGTGACAGCCACTATTACATAGAGGAATGTCACATGAACTCTCAAATTGGGAGACACACAGTAAACCAGCAAACAAATAATAAAATTACAGATTGATTGGTGCTATGGGATAAATGGAATTAGGACAAAGGATAATAGGAAGGGGATTCCTTTCAGTAGGGTGATAGGGATAACCCTTCAAGGGGGTGACATTGTGAATTCTAACCCCACTGGCTAAACGTGAACATTGTAGTATGTGATCTTTTCAAGTTTCTTAAGTCACATGTTGTTAAGATTAAAATTAAAATTAAAATCCTTTTTTGCCTTTCCTGAGCCCAAACTGTAGAACGTCAAATGGACGTCAGTTCTGGAGAGTGGAGGGAAGCCAGCTGCATGGCCAGGTCCCCTCCCGGCTGACTTTCTGCTCATGACAACTTTTTCTCCTTAGGGAAAGGAGACGTGTTTGGAGATGTGTTCTGGAAGGAAGCCACACTTGCCCAGTCCTGTGCTAACGTGAGGGCCTTGACCTACTGTGACCTGCATGTGATCAAGCGGGATGCCCTACAGAAAGTGCTGGAGTTCTACACAGCCTTCTCCCACTCCTTCTCCCGGAACCTGATCCTCACCTACAACTTGAGGAAGAGGGTGAGCTGACAGTTTTAGTTCTTTTCTATACTTTGCCGTGTTCACTTTGGAAGCCAGGAGAGTCCTTGTGCTGTTTATTTTCAGTGGAGTAATGGATGCTAACAAGGTTCTGCATGTTTCTTGCTCTGCAAAGTTTTTGCTCTCCGATGGAGGAGAGAGGGAATGTTGCTTGATTAGAAGATGGATGGATTTGGTGCAAAAGGCATTTGATAATGCATGGTAGAGGCTTTTTCTTCCTATCTAGACCTTCTAGCATTGGGAAAAGATGAGTAAAACATGAGGTTGCTCACCAATAAAGTGGCAGCATGGAGCTACTTAATTAACGTAAACTGAGTTCTCCCCAGGACTGGAACCCACTGAGTGGTGTATGGCAGCCAACTGGCAATGACACTTTCTAAAAAGATATAAAGATACTTTAATTGGGCCCAGGAAATGGAAAAAGACCTGGAATTTTGTTGTCTAGAGAATAGTTTGTATATGGCTGCCAAAGAATTGATCAGCAGTTTAAGAATCTGGAACATGTCTCCTCTGAAATTATTTCTTTCATGCTTAAATCATCAAAATTTCTCCAGGTGTTTTATAAGGATTAAAATATTTGTCCTCTTTAGGTTTTCTTGATTGGTTTTCTTGTACTTCAATGGTCTCTTTTGGTTAAATCAGTAACTCAGTAGTTCTGGACCTAAAATAAACATCTGGAAAGACTCATAAAAATCTTCCCCCAAATGATCTCTAGTCCTTCCTCTACCCTGTTTCTGGTCTTGTGGTCTCTGTTTTCATTTACATTGTCTGATTTGTCCTGGGGTTCCAAGTGAGAAATCCTAGTATCAGTGTTGCTCCTCTCTCTCCCCCATGCCTTGGGTTCTCGTCAGATCCTATTGGCTCCACCTAAGCTCTCAAATCGGAAATCATACTTCACTTTCTTCCTAAGAACACAAAGCCCCTTTCTTATAGCCCAGAATCAGCAGGATCATGCAGTGGGTTCCACACTTACCAAATCACCTTCCTGCCTTATGTCCATCCTCTGTTCAGTGCTTTCTTCTCATGCTCACTCAAATAATCTGATCCTGTACAGGATTGTGTCAGTACGCTTTAGCATGGCTTCTGTGTGCTGTCCACATGTGACCCAAGCTTAACTCCCGATCCCTGTCCTCAGCCACTCCTGGCCATACCTGGCACCCTGAATAGCCAAATGAACTAGACCATGCCCAGTGTGCCAAGTAGTCTATAAAAAAATGAAACCAAATGGTATTCAGTTCTCTATCTCCAAGGATCTAAAGCCTAATGGATCCAACATGGAAAGGTAACTTTCAGTTTGCAATGCTAATACAATGATTGCAATTCACCCAGGGCATTGTGGGACAATACAGGGGTAGAGCAGCTAAATGGGGAGTCAGGGAGAAAGTGTGGAGATGATAAGCTGAGTCCAAAGCATGCGTTTCCCAAACAGAAGGGCAGGTGTTCTACTTGGAGCAACAATTTGAACAAGGTCTAGAGAAAGGAAACAAGTTTTTGTTCTCTAAGTTCTTTGTACAAGGCTTGAATTACCTGTTGTTGGATTACCCAACCACTGTGTTTCCTCCTCTTTCAAACCCCCTGCATTTCATTGCTTTGCCAATTCCTACTCGGAGACCTGAGAGTTCTTATCTCAGAGTGCTTAATTGAGTACCAAGCATTTGAGGGTGGAAAAGGAGAAAGAAATGAGCTCTCTAAGCCTCGGTTTCCTCCTCATAAAATGTAAGGTTGTGGTTAGATGATTTTTAAGGATCTGTGATTTGAAACCTGTTGTCTGAGAACATGGAATGCTAGCTGGTGATACTTTTAGCCAAATGGATTTTCTTAAAATTTATTTTTTGATTTATTCCTTCTTTCTATGAAAGCAAGTTGATTATAATCAGCTTTTGGTGTTGCTGATAATATAAGTTGAAAAAATATGCAGTTTAGTTTATTTGGAGATGCAATCATCTTGGAATAACTGTCTTTAAGAAGACAACAAAAAGAATAAACCCTCGGGGGTCAGCTCGTTTTTATAAGTACAGAGTGATTGACAACTTGTAACAAGAGAAGACTGGAAACCACAGCTTTGAAGGACTGAGTCTATAGAGCCACAATTGCAGAGGAAGAAGCAAAACTATGGACAGACAGCTTTGGCACAGTGTAAGAATATTCTTTAAAAGAGCAGTGCTCCCCCAAAGCATGAAACGGGCTGCCTTGAGTGGTCTCAGGTTTGTTGACCTGAGGGTATCCATTATTTGTGCCCAGGAACATTGTGGAAGGAACTTAGGCCTCCAATGGAGAGTCAAATTTTCTTCCCATCTCAAGTGCCTATGAGTCTGGTCCTAATCCAAAGGAATTTTAGTGAGAGCCTTGATATAAAGAGGTAGCCATTCTTTTCTTAGCAAAAGGAGACTTGTCATTTTGGTATTGCCATTTTTGTCTCCAATTGTGTCCTTCTGAGAAACAATTTCTAGTTGCATGGGGCATGGGTGATGAGAACATTATATACATGAATTATTCTTGTAGTTTTTTTTTTTTCGGTCTGGCAAAATGAAGTATATTCTTGGGGCTGTTTCTATCTTGGCAAAATCAAGCAAGTTATTTGCTAAGATTTCTGAGAACACAGTCCCTTAGACATCTGTTTGGGGAATTGTTTGATCCTGTAGACCTCATCCTGTACACAGCAAAAACTCTGCACTGGAAAGTGCCTCAGTAGCCAACCAGTCTGTCTCCCATGTCCCTACCACTTGCATGTCAAAAATGTGATATTTTATAGGAAGTTTACATAGCTGGGCTGGTAATTAAAGAATTGGAGTCAGAAATCATTTCTGGACCAGGAAACTTCCTGCTTCTTACCACCTCTTGGCCCCTTCAGAAGTCTGTGTTCTAAGCCTCATTTCTCTATCCCTGAACTCAAGTATATAAGCAACACCCAGCTGTCAACACTGCTCTTGGGATTCAACTCAGGAAGGGACCTTTCACTCCTTCCATTTCCACTGAAGTCACATGACGAAGACATGTGCAAAGATGAATAAGGAGATGCCTGGAAGCCAATTTGGCATTCAGACCTTTAGTTTTTCTTGCTGAGCCAGATAAAACTTTGACCTAGGTCCTTCTCTGATGCTTAGTGCTACTGCAATTCTGGACAAGTTGTGAAAGCTTTGTCATCTTTAAAACGATGAAAATTTTACCTTGTAGGACCATGGATGAAATAAGATAATACTTAAAAAAAGTTCTTACAGAGCCTAGAACTAGTCCTTAAGGGCTAGTTAAGCTGTGGGTGATTGTTATTTTGTCTGGTCTGCTTGAGTGCTATCCTAGTCGTCGTCTTGTATTTTTTGAAAAATAAACAGAAGGCAGATCCCCTGCCTTTGCTCAGAGTTCCTGCTCTGCAGAATGTTCTGTGATATGTGTATTGCTCCAGGGTTCTCTGCACTTTTTGCAACAGAGGAGCAACTGGCCACTGTAGAAAATGGAACCCAGCATGGGCCTTGCTGTCCCTTCAGCTCCTGCCAGTGGAGAGGCCAGTACTTGCCCATTGTTTTGATCAGTTCCATTCTTGGAGAGAAAAATCAGATTATCTTGAGACCTTGAAGCAGTCACCAGGGAGCCAAGAGGAACACTATGTGGGGAGCTCAGCATCCTTATTTCTTAAAGGAGGTAGCTACAGTTAATAGTGAAAAGAAGAGGAAGGTAGAAACTTCTACAACTCAAACTCTTGACTATCTAGGGTACCAAGCTCTAAAACTATTTTCCTGTAGGCCCCAAGTCTTCCTCTGTCATCAGACTTGCTCACTATCAATTATTTCCAACTCTAGACAGTACAAGCTGCAGCAGGGCCTCACTGAGTTGCTTGGGGCCTTCCTAAGTTGCTGAGGCTGACTTTGAATTTGAGCTCCTCCTGCCTCAGCCTCCCAAGCCACTGGGATTACAGGTGTGAGCCACTTCGACTGGCTTGGTGTGTGCTTTATGTCAGTTTACGAAACCTTCAGAGCAGCTTCATGACACTAATGTTCCCACTTTTGTGGGAATAAACTAGGGTCCTGTGCAGAAGAGAATCCCTTTCACCCAGCTACTAAATTGGCAGACTCCAATGCTGCTGCTCCTGCTAAACAGCATCACATCCTGTAGCTGGTCTTTGGGAGTGTGACTGTTGGCTCTTCCCATGGCGGTATTCTTTGATTTCCTCCAGTGCGTTGACTTTTTCCGGATGGCACAGTTGTTTCCTGTGTATCTAGGATGGCCTTTGTCACATCAGTGTCACACTCAGAACTTGCATAGTAAAACCACAACCATATCCAAGATTAGGAGACATAAGAAGTGTTCCCTTAGTAGTGACAGGCACAGAGTATGTTTCTGGGGAGACATGACAGCTTGGTTGGGCAGCAGACAAACCAGTCCATGAGAACAACTTATAGAAAGAGCAGTCTTAGGTCTAAGAACCTATTTGAGTGCTGGTTTGGCTACTGACTAACTATGAACTCATAGGCAAGTTGCTGAATGGTTAAGAAGGACCTAATATGAGTCCTTCCTTATTAGAATGATTGAGAATCTCATATAAAATAAAACAAAAATAAAAGTGATCTAGTGCTTGTAAGAATCATTCAGTTGGTATTTACCCTTTCTTTTCCCCACTACCCATCCCTTACCTCCACCTCCAATCTAGAAGATTCTGAATTCTTGTTTTTCCCCCTTGATTTATAAGCAGATCCATTTCTTCAGTCAGCATCCCACTGGGATCTACTTTCCTTTCAACCTGAGATGAGGTTTCACTTCCCGGGTGCCAGGGGATTGGGTCTTCTGCAGATCATTAGGACAGTAAGGAAGAGTACCACAATTAAATGATGTACTACAGACAAGCAATTAGGTAATTAACAGCAGTGAGTGCACAGGATAATTGACATGTAGGTAATTGGTAGGGTGGTTCTTATTCTCTGTGTAGGGTTTTATTTTTAAAGCCAATATTGTTGTGTATTTGAGTGTGTTTTGCAGTGTTTGCTTTTATT